ACAACCATATTTTAACTTATCAGCAAACATTGTACAGTACGAGTAAAATATAATTACATTTAAATGTGATAACAAAATAATCGTCTGGCTAAAACAACTAAATCATATATAACAGTTTATTCTAACCAATTCATCAAACATTTATGAAGAAACCAATACCAAGCAAAAACACTTTGGGTTTTTGGCGCATCAGCTGTTTGGAATACCGTATCATCCATTTTAGGAATGGAGAAGATTAAAAATTCTTTTCAGCGATGAATTCAAAGCTATATTTTTTGCATTTATTGTTGTGTATTACAAATCAGTAAAAATCTTTCATTTTCAAATTTTTAGAACTAGATAAAAATTATTATTGTCGTCCTGTTAAAGGGTACCTAAACTTATAAGTTAAATGTGCTCCTTAATACAGTATAAAGTTGTACTTTGGGTTTTCAACAAATAATATTTTAAAACTAGCCTGAACAATAACAACAAAACGTTTTACATCTCTGACTATTAAGTTTTGATTTTTATTGTCTGTCAAATAACATTAACTTTATCAACATAACATAATTTTTTTACAAAACTACTCAAATAGGCTATATAAAATAAAGAGGAAATATTTTTACGAGTGCAAACAGTTACAGCCTACTCAGTGCTTACAGCTTTGGTGCATACACATCCCAAACCGCATCAACTATTTACGAGTGAAGTCGAGTTAAAATCCCAAGGGCCACCCCATCCAGCTTCACCCCTTAGAGCTTAAACATCGCTGTCTAGCCGCTTATGTAATAACATCAACTATATCTCCATCAACTGTCAAACTGGTGAGATTATTGCCTAGGTCATGAGTAAAAATCAATGTCGAAAAGAACTAACCATGCTTCTTATTTCTATGTATTGTTATTAATTTGCCAATGAGGTGCTGCTAGTCTAGAGGTTTTTTCGTCCTTAAGAGTCTTCCGTAGTGGAAGCCATGTTGGATTTCTTCCCCATAAGAACAATGTTAAACATTACATCATTTGTGGACACGTAACGGCGTTATTTGTTAAGATATAGCTTTGAAATTTATAATTTGTATTTTTAACATAATAGACTCGTGACTGAGGTTTTTGAATTTCGAAAATCCATTTTCATTTCCTTTCAATAATTAGCTGAATTTTAAGCTAATTAATAATCAATTATTCATTATAAAAATTAAAAATTGTGAAATAAAAAACGTCAATCTCTAGAGGACCGCAATTCCTTAAATTTAACTCCTTATCCATAATTATATGACAATTTGCTGATGAGATATTTGGACCCAAAGTTAACATTGTTCTTATGGGGAAGAAATCCAACATGGCTTCCACTACGGAAAACTCTTAAGACGCTATGCACGAGCCTGGGATTGTTTTTCACATTACTTCAGGGTAGACCTAGGGGTTGTGGCATTATCACTTACGCCAGCTCGCTCCCCATAGCTAGTCTAGAGGCTGCAGCAAGAGACTGTTTTGGATACCGAGGATCTAATTCCGTCGAACACTATAATAGTAACTGACTTCATCGATCGATTTTATTTAACAAGATAACTGCGTGGTTCAGAAGTTCGTACCCCCCCCCCCCCGCAAAAAGAGCAGAAGTCCAAGTAAAAGAAAAAATGTAAAAAAAAAACATAAAGACCTTTAAATAAAGCTTTTAAACCCGTATAATTTTGTGAATGTGCTGGTAATCGAACCTTCACTTACACACAAAGTTCATGACGAAAAACTGAGCTCTTAATCCTCCGAGAAAAACTTAAAACATGTATTTTAACATCAGAAATCAGAAATCGGAAAATCTTTATTGTTTCATATTTTTTACAAGCTTTTACACAGAGTACTTAAGAATAACTTAGATTAACTAACTCACACACTTATTTATAACTATGAAACAATTCATCCCTAGGTCAAAGACCTGTTTGGGATGTTCTATTACGAAAAAACACATATAAAACAGCTCAAAAGATGGGATCACCGACATCAATAAATGTTACACTCTATGTGTTCTACATGTTTTCTAAATACAAGTAACGTTACAATATTTAAACAATGTGTCCAGATCTCTTCGTAAAAATGTTTCAAGGACTCATTATTAATTATCAGAAGTAAATTTGTAAACATAAAGAGACAAATACTTTATTGATGTTCGTAAAAAGTCAGCGCCACAAATAGCGTCGCCACCAAATAAAAGGCGGCCGCCCCAAGTTAGAACACTTAATTTCCGGTCTTCAGTGAAGGAAATAAGCTCACCTCACCGTCCGACCACTGTAAACAGTGATTTATGGGACGAGCTTATGACCTACAATCGTCATAAACAGTCCCGTCTGTGGTCATAAACTAATTGCACTAGCACCTGATCCTGTATAACTAGTTACGTTTGAAAATTCATACACGCATCCATACACAAGTAATTTATGAAATCGCGTTTCTTTGACAGAAAAATCAAAATTAAATACCTATCTTAAGCTGGCGTTAATTCAACTTTTTAAAGGCGCCAAACTTTATTCAATTCCTAAAAAAAAAACTGAATGAAATTATCTTAATTAACACATAAATACACTTAATTGTCTAGTCAGTTAATGTCCTACTTCTAAAACCAATTGTTCAGTTCCCTTTTACACCGGAAATATTCATAAAATGCTGGCTTTATATACCTTAAACCAAAGTTATGTCAAAAAGAAATACATATTTTAAAATAAATGGTTCCTGAAGATAATCATCAAGTAGCCGATCATTAATACGATACTCACAAAGAATGTTTGTTTTTTTTAGACAATTATGACCAGTTTTGAGGTGTGATGTGCTATAAACGAAAAAGGAATATTTATTTGATTTAAATTAGCCTATAAGGAAATCCAGAAGAAACATCTTTAGTTAGTATTTGCAATATGCAACATGATTTGGCAGAAGCAAAGTCTTACATTAGTTATTACAATAGTACAATAGATTACAGTGACCTATAAGAACCCCCACTACCTTTGACCACGCAGAAATCGTCAGTCTACAGTAGATGAAGATGACAGGTACGTCTAGACGTCGTCTCCGTCTGTTAATTTTTCTTTTAAATTTGAGTGTGACCATAAGCCTAGTTTTCATAATGTTTAACCATTTCTGAAGTTATAACATAATGTACTAATTATGAACTGTGTTATTTCTTTTCCAGTGTCTGACCATACGTAATCTTTAATGAGCTTGAATACATATTGGGTAAGTCAAATATCGAATAATCAATCAAGAGCAAATTGTGCAATTATTTAATATATAGAAATTTTATCTTAAATTTGTCAATACCAAATGTTATAAATTTCTTATTGAATCAAACATTTATTATTTTCAGTAAAAAAATAACATAATTTTCCATGATATTAAAAAAAAACCACACAGAAATATACAAAAAGCAATATCAACTAAAAACTTTCAGAGAATGAAATAGCGATAAAATTAAGTGGGCAAAGCTGCGGCAACAAATAAGAGCAATAAAGGCAAGCCGAGGTATTAGTCTTGGTATCGAAGAACAATAAGTTTACGTTAACAGTAACGAAGTTCCACTACTCGCCACTGGCCACTGCAGCGCCACTGTCAGCAGTCCGGTCACGTCCAAACCTGATAGCCGATACACCGCTAACAGATCGAGTAAAGATATCTTTCAATGTGATTGGTGCAATATGTAAAATGTGTTAATTAAATTTGTAATGTATATAATACTGTTAACGCAGGAGCATTTTGAGAAAGTATCACAGAAGCTTTTATAGGAAAACAATTAATAACCCTCTGTGTTTTTTTTTATTTTGCAGGGAATTGAAACCGTCCTTCCTGTCCCATAGTCAGAGACTAGCACACTTCAGAATTTTAACGAGGTTTTTGCAAGTAGGAACTAACTATGTTTTATTTCACACAAATTATATTTTTACCGGTGTTACAGTGATAACTAAACCCAGGTATTCGATGAAGGTGGTATGACTATTTTGTAGGATTGTGTAGTTGTTAGATTGTGCAGGGAGTATTGTAGGTAGGTTAAAGAAGGTTATTTCATCGGATATGTTGGTGTTTCAATGGGTTACTACTTTCATTGTAGAAACACATAAAGTAGATTTGCACTTTCGATGCTGTAAACGTAACTATTTTAAAAATTGAAAACACCTTAGAGACAAAGTTTGCTGCTTTAAAATACTGCTTTCTTTTTTACCACCAATTTGATGTCGCTAGACTGAACGGACACTTAATTTCCTTCTTATTGTAGATTTTTTGTAAACTACACTATATTTAAGTCCTCATAAACCATGACAGTATAAACACTTTAGAAGAAAACCAAACTTGTATAGTAGGACAATAATTGAGAAACTCATTCATATACTCTTTGAATAAAACCAGTGTTCTAAGTAGTTTGGCTATATCAGCATGGAAATCGAAAATGGAAGTAATACGATACATGCTAGAAAAGAAGAATACAAATAAAGTTGAAACCTAGTCTAATCCCTAAAGAAAATACTGTTCAACATCTTCTAAAATATGAAGATGAGATTTCGATAGGGTTCCAAATCCAGTAAATATTTTGTTTCGGAAATCTTCAAAGATTCAGCAGTAAAGTTTGAGTTTTGATGAGATTATTAAATTTTAATGCGACATGGTTTCAAAGTGTTCATAAAAATTTTTTCTGTCATAAGAAGGTGTAAGAGGGAGCTATTCTTGTGTATTTATTAGGTTATTCTTGTGCTTACGTACGGGTTGCCTAAGTTATCATCCCCACTCTCTTTTCCGCATTGCTATTAATCTAAATTTAACCCCCGATCGTTCATTGACACACACCTAGTCACACCACAGCTTGACTCATCAAGAGTATTTAACCCTATATTCTATTCAGAGTAAATAAATCCTCTGTAATTATTTCTACCCTCTATTTCTAATAACTAGAAATATGACTTAGCACTTAACACTAGGAATAAGTTAATAAATCACTACTACATGAATTTTACAACTACTGTATGCCAGAAATGAGCTTACCACATCCCTGTCCCCAGGTTTCGACCAGGTTGCACTGCTCGTCACCAGGGTCGCGTACACACTCGATGACGTCACGACATGTTGTATCTGGTGTGACAGGCACCTCAGCCACGGCGTCCTCTACGTACACCCGTACTATCAGCTGGAACATGAACAGAATAATTAGGGGAAATGTCTCATATCACCGAATCCCATGGTACCGAATCCCACAGTACAGAATCCCACAGTACCGAATCCCACTTTTGAGAATGCTTAAGGCACACATTGAAAATGTTGAAAACTTCGATACATTTCCATAAATAAAGCAGCTCAGAATGTCTTATATTTGATTCATTCGGTGCTTCAAAATAAGAAAGTTTCCTTGGACCGAAAATAACGCTTCCTATAGCACTAGTCCAATAGTACCGAAAGAATTCAGAACTATGATATTCTGTGCTTTAAGATTAATTTTCCGTTCAACACTGTGGGATGTAGCAATAAAGGACCATGCCTACTATTAACATCAAATAACTTAAATTAATTCATCCAAACTCATATAATTTTGATTTTTTATCCATCACCATCACCAAATGAAAAGTGTATCACATACAAAATTAAACCTATGTGGCTCTTGATTTTTTTAAATAATTGATACAATTATTAATTTAAAAATCAAGAGGAAACCCATAAAATATGCAACAGATTATATTCAGAAGTCCACTTGCACTATTCAAATTCAATAATTAAGCCCAGTACATCATCAATCATAAAGTGCAAACAAAAACAACTTCCTGCCACTTATTACTTTTTAAAATAAATTATTACTTTTTCATACCCGTAAAGAGTACGCGAAATATCTTTTTGCCGCTCTAGGGCTCGAATGAATCATTCCCACTCCCACTTTTACAATTGTCGATTTTACACCAAAAATAGCCGTGAAGCCGTGGAACTGGCACGTTAGTTAACATCAGGTAAGAAAAAATCTTGTAAAAAAAGGAAACATAACCTTAATGGCATTTTATATACTATTAAAAAGTTAATCTTTGTGTTACTATAACTTAATTATGGTGGTATAAAATATCCTTTGTGTTTGTGTATTACGAACACAAACTGTCATTGCAATCTTAATACAAAAATTGCCACATTAATCTTTATTATCGTTGTTTGAAACGTAAATGAACAAAATATACCCAAACTGTGGAAGAAAATTAGGTTAAAATGTACCGTGATATTTTTGTTAAGGTTTCTAATAGAAAAGACAAGCGTAAGGCGTTAAGGATTGATCAATATTGAGAATAATGCTTCCTAAATCTCTACTCACCCCCTGGAAATAAGAATCTCGTAAGTTTTTACTGCGTGAGCCATTATGCTAATGAAGTAGAATTGAATTGCGATTTCACAAACACTTTTGAATTAATGGAGGCTGTTCTTCTTTAAGAGAATGGTATTGACAGTCAAAAGATAATCTCCTTCGAGAAGAGTCTTTTTCAAGCGAAACAACGGCTAGGGGGAATATTTTAAGGATCTAAGACGTAAATGTATGAAGTTGGAGGTCTACCTGTCAAGAAAATAAAAATTATATGCTTCTTATGAAAGGAGACCTTTTTTGTATTGCGATGAGTTCAACAGTTTAATAGGAGTCAATTGTTAAATTGAAGCATAACCTTACAGGAAAGGGGGATTTATCGAATACAGAGTGCTGTTTACAGAAAATAAAATGTATACACACACAAATAGAAAATGGTTATTACAAAAATTCACAACGTAGATGTAAGTTTATATTTTATCCTGAAAAGAGAGCTAATCTGTAATTTTTATTAAAGAGCAAAGCTGTAAAATTATAAGCCTTGGACAAAAAAATAATACAGAGAGAGTTGGCAGTTCAAAATGTGACGGCGCTGAGATAGGCAATCTAGGCACAGACAACTAAATGTTAGCGTACCTATCCGATATATATTTGGTGAGATAATGATGTTCATTTTGGGCAAATGTTTAGTGTTTGGGTTTGGTGTGACGGACATTTTATTATTATCACTTAGAATGGCAAATATGAATTCAAATGTACTTATGGATATTTTATACACTAAGGTACACAGAAGAGCCATAATGACCATGCTAAATACATACACGATGACATTTATTAATTAAAAATACTTTCTAGTAGATACCTTAAATACACCTATCGTAGAAAAACTGCATACTAGTAGAACTACATTTTTTATTAACTATTTATATAAAAGAGGTTCCTAACAAATGTAAGTTTTTATGACCTATAAGACCAAAATAAATACTGTAAAATTGAGTTAACGAACAGTTACGCCGTCAACACAAAAAAATTGGGTTTTGATTTAATATCACATGAAAAGTTAATTGAACGGGTGTCAAATTTACTTAATCAAAACCTACCTGTTGTAAAACAACTGGAGAATCGGTAGATTTGTTTTTATTTAGATTACATTATTATTTGTTATTCATGAATGACAATTAATTCACATTTACCGATATCAGACGTTTTAAAATTAAGTTTACATAATTTTTCATCATACATAGTAAAGTATTATAAAAGGTTATTCGATTACACTAAATATATTTCCAAATTACGATTTCTAAATTTATCAAATGAATAGTAGAGTTTTAGAGAAAGGATTTTACTAGTCGGAGCAAGTGTTATTTTCAAGACATTTTCATTTAATTATCCACGAGGGCTCCGAACTACTGGGGGATGCATTGTTGGTGAGCTAAATAAAATTTGTGATTTAAAGTATTTTAACCGGGGACACAAGAACAGAAGTTTCTTGTTCTAAACTTAAACCAGCCAAACTCTTGCATATATCTCATACTTTCATTCATAATTTAATTATTTTCCCTTCCAACTTAAGAGTCTTCATCAGTGGTAGCCATATTGGTTTTTAGTCCCATAAGAGCATTGACAGAACATACCATAATTTGAAGCAGCACGCCTGTGTTAATTATAGAGATATAGTTTTGAAGATGTATAATTAGGGTTATAGAGTAATAGGGAATGAGGAAATGGTATCAAATGTTTGTTTTTGTCTTTTATTAATAAGTTATAAATAACTTATTAATAAAAGACTTAAAAAACTTATAAAAGATTTTAAACTTATAAAAGACTTATTAATTGGAGGAAAAATGACAAAACTAAAATCCTTACTCCCTAGAGGACCACTAAACCTTAACTTTACACCTCAATCGTTATTTTATCACAACAGGTTTTTTTAGAAATTCTGTTACAAAGTTAACATTGCTCTTATGGGACTAAAATCCAATATGGTTGCCACCGATGTAGACTCTTAAAAACGTGTAAATATTTCTATCAGTGTAATAACAAACATTACACGTTTAACCACTTGAAGATATTTCACATACAACCCCTGAAACATTTTAAAATTACTTCAGTAGAATATTACGATTAACACCTCACTTGAGAATGTAATCCAATCAAAATTCAATCAGGAAATTCGCCATTGAGCTGTTACACCTTAGAGACGCGATTAATACAAATTTACGACCGTTGTGCAATATAAGCCTGTGAGAGACGCCGCGCCGTGTATTGGCTACGTTGGTTACCAGCCTGAGCCTCCCTTATTAAAGGCCCACTCCGGGTCTAGATTGCCTGCTGAATGTAGCTCTCGATATTCATAAGGGCGATGGGGTACAGAGAGGTATACCTGGCTTGATATTGGGGTTTTTAACAGGTTGGGTTAACTCTAAAAAAATGTTTAGCGTACAATACGTGTTCAAATGTGTATTTACACTAATATTGTCACTATATCGTCAACTTGTTGTTAGATAGCCTTAACTGATAACCTAATTAATTTACCTATGGATTCTGAAAGCTATCGTTTGGAATTGAACCAGTTACTTTCAAATTTGAAGGCTAGCCCCATATCCTCTTGACTTCCCAGATATTGTAGTTAAGTTAAATAAATTAATTGGTCATATGTCTGTGGTTAAGAGATCAGAGTACAATAAAGTGCACTACGAAATAAAATGATATAATGGTAAAGATTATGAACGTTTATCGTACCACTAACTTTAAAATGAAAATTTTTTGTTAATAAATCCTTATAAAACCTGCATAAGGCATAGAAATATGTATATTTTCAATGTATTTAGCAATAAATCTGGACTATTAAATTATGTTTGTTAGCGTAGTTGAGATTATTATTTATTTCAAGATCATTAATATGTATCCAAATGTGTGGAAAATGTTAAATGTTTGTGTCTAAAAGATTTTCTTCTTAGGCAATTTGACATACGTAAAATAGGTGTGTAAATAGTAATCATTAAATCATCGCAATGTAATTTATCATTCTAAAGACCCATGATAGTATTGTGGCACCCAATATAACGCTAAAACAAAAGTGGGTTATACTCTGGAAATGCTTTAAGCCAGACATGCTTTATGGACCTTGAAAGAAGTACTTATCATTAAATGTTTTGTGAGAATTGATTATTCACCTAAACAATAATATTTTGTGGGGGTCTCATTAGAATATGAGTTAATTATATTTAACATTAAAATAGTGACTTTGGAAATCCTTTCAGAAATAAACTATACAGTGCATTCTCAAATAGATTCCAAACAAAAACAAACATTTAACGCGCTTGAACATATCTACCTAATACTTTACGAAGATAAAATTAATTCCGTTCATCAATAAGTTAACGCACAACAGAAATAACGTATACCTACAATAAATTACCTGTGTAACGTGAAACACTTCAAGGAAAGATATTAATTAACGGTTCCGCCTCGGAAACGGGAGGTTGAGATTCCAGGAAGTGTAACAATTAGTGTTAAACCCATCAACACTTTGGATTTCTTCAGAGTTTTTAATAAAATATTGCTAAGTACACTCGCTGAAATAATTGAAAGGTATCCTCTCATATTTCATAATTGCAATATAATTAACGTTGAGGTGTGTGTATTTGTGAAAGAGGTAGATTTATTCCAAATTTAACATAATAATAAAAGTGTGCAACTGGTACATTATGACGAGTTATATCTACTATGGTAGATCAACGTGGTCAGAGTCAAAGTATAGTATTCTTCGACGTTAACGTTGTATTTGATTATTTAATTGAATAGTGTAAGTCAATTAAATAGTTGTTATGACAAGTTCCTTGTCATAACAAGGG